CCAGGGATAACATGATACCATCTTACCTGTGTTCTTCGTACTTTCCTTTTTCTGCTGCCTTTCCCTCTCACCCACATTTCTGTTGCCTGATTTCTGAAAGACCTTGCAGATAGGTAACTGTGATAATTCTCCTCGGGGAGGTAAAGGTTTAATCAGGCCAGTGGCATGCTGGAGCCTGACTGTACCACTTTGTGAGAGATGGCTGCTAAATACTCAGAAATTTAGCAAGTAGACTGTTAACCTTCGGCAGCTTGAAATCTGCCACGGAGGGAGTATTTACACCATGGAAATTGGCAAACATTATAAACGGCCCCACCCTCCCTCCCCAAAGAGCTGGTCTATCAGCACCCCACGGGGTATTCCTCCCCTGCCATCTTGCATTTTCATTAGAAACCTTATTCAAATCTGAAAGTCTTATTCAAAATCTAGATTTAAAATGAATTTCTATGGCTGGGAATGTCTCTAACAGGAACAAACATGGGAAAATCATTAGAGGCATTGCTCAAATGTTACCGCATAGGCAAATGGCTAGACCACCTTGCTGAAAACCAGCTCTACTCACATACAGCTAGGAGATACGGTGGGAAATTATAAAAATTAAAAAAAAAAAAGCATTAGCTTTTTGAGCCAAGGAAGATTCCAAAGATATATGTACATATAATAATCCTATAAAATATGGATTGTTCTATAATAATTGAATTATTATATGAATTAGAATTATATTGAATTAGACTGTTAAGTATTTTCAGAATTACTGGCCAAAGCGAAGAATGAAGTACAAGAGTAAACTATGAACTATCCTTCTTAAAAAGGACAAAGAATTGCAAACCCCCTCAGAACATGTGGAGAGTACAGTCTGCATACTGCAAAACTAAATGTACTATTAGAGGTCCAATGAAACGATCTAGTGGTTTCCAAAACCGGAAGCAGGACTTCCATCTTACTGAGATCTTAAAAAAAAAAACAAACCTGTTGAGCTACTGGTTTAAGACCAGGATTACTTCCCAAAGTACAGCAATCCACCTTTACTCATATTCCTAGAATATCTTCTTTAAAAGTGGGAAAGGATTAATGGTGCTTAATATAAATTAGTTATCTTTTCTATGTATTTGTTTCATGCCTCTACTATGTATCTACTGTGTACCGGGCACTATCTTCACTGCAGAATGAGTAAGTTCCAGTCCCACAATGTGTTTCAAAGATTCTATCCATTTTTTAAAAGTATATTAGGTAAGGAAGTACTGTTCAAAGGCCTCAAAGAGATTCTACCAGTAATATATAGAGGATTTTCTTTCTAATTAGTTTACTGTAATTAGATAATAACATTTGACAGCTATAACCTTTTAGCTTTTGTGCTCCCACAAGAATAGTCACCAGGAGCTTTTTAGAGAAGATGATCTGATTTCTGAAGAAAAATGGGGTGTAGCTTTGCCTTCTTGGGATGAATCCAAATGTAACTAAATAAAAATGTGAAAAATATACTTTATAGAGAACACTATGAAGCATGGTCAGAAAAATTTTGACTTATAATTAACACATGCTTCTGAAAATATGGAGTCTAAAAGTATAAATAGGAATTCTTTCTTTAAAAAATATTTATTTATTTATTTATTTGAGAGAGAGAGAGAGAGCATGAGTGGGAGGAGGGGCAGAGGGAGAGGGATAAGCAGACTCCCCACTGAGCAGGGAGCCCGACACAGGCTCGATTCCAGGACCCTGAGATCATGACCTGAGCCAAAGGCAGATGCTTAACCAACTGAACCACCCAGGCACCCCATAAGTATGAATTCTTAATTATGGGCTTTTAGAACGATAGTTACGCTGACACTGAGTTTGTTGTTATAGTTGTTTGCTGTAAGAAAAACACACGTTCCTATCAAAGCATGTAAAATTAATGAGCACATTTTCTATGCAGAGCTCAATACTCTTTTGTAAACTGTACTCATGAAAGAAAACTATCAATGAATTCATTAGGTAAAAATAAAAATTCAAAGAACAATGGCTACAGAACTAATAACTCTAGAAGGCTGAAATGTAGCAAGATATAAAGGACAGTGATAAAGCGTGTAACTGATGTTTATGTAAATATCAACAGTTCTTTTGTTACCATGCAGAAGAATCAGGGAAAAAAATGGGTAGGTAAGTGGGGCATGGCGTGGCAGGTTGTTTGCCTGCCTTCACTGCTGACCTGAAGGAGCATCTCGCGACCAACAGGAACCGCACAAGCCAGGCGTGTGTATACCTCCCATGCCAGCAGGCCTGGGCTGCCTTAAACGACTAAAGTGCAAAGCAGGCCTTTTAAATTTCCGTGATGTAAAGTAAGTCCATCTCGCCACTAGATGGAGATCAGGTTACTCTGCCAGGAGCAGGGAAAGCGGCTGGCATCTAGCCAGCGATAAGGATGGCACTGAGAACACACTCTCTTTTCTCAATATTTCTAAGAAAGGCATTTTTCAAGCTCCAAAACCAGGAGTAGACATCTGCTGAATAAAGGGCCCATAAATGAGGAACAGCTTGAGGGATCACACAGTACGGGAACTGCTTAAAAGACACATTTTTGCTTGTTATTACCATTGCTCCATAATGATTCCTATTTGGATTTTGTTGTGTAAACTACTCGTAAATAATAACATGAACTGGTCTAAATAAGAGCAATTAAGTATACTGTCTTTTTAATTTTTTTCCAAGATTTTATTTATTTATTTGACAGAGAGAGACACAGCGAGAGAGGGAACACAAGCAGGGGGAGCGGGAGAGGGAGAAGCAGGCTTCCCGCTGAGCAGGGAGCCCGATGCGGGGTTCGAATCCCAGGACCCTGGGATCATGACCTGAACCTAAGGCAGACGCTTAACGACTGAGCCACCCAGGTGCCCCTATACTGTCTTATTATTTACCAAACAAGGAGGGGAGGAGAGATACGACCAAAAACTAAAACAATGGTAGACCATTTGGGCAATTAATCCTGTCTGTTTACACATAAAGATGCATGCTCACAGTTTGTTTCTGGGTTTGAATATGTATATAAATATATATTTCAATATCAACCAAAATGGATTCAGGAACATCAGAAATGGAAGGAGAAGGTTGGATAACATCTAAGTTTCTAAATGAAACTAACATCCAATTCTCAAATGTGTAACTTTATTTCTGAGTAAGTTTTATTTCTGCTACAGCTGAACTTTGAACTGGAGACATAAAGTTATACATTTCCTGGAAAATGTTTGGTCTGGGAAGGATCAGATGTTGCCTTGCAAACAGTAGCCAAGTATTTTGATTATTTTTGGGATGTTAGAGAATATATTTCTGTTCATTTCTAATTTATTAACTATAGATACTCATTTAATAAATACTTATTCAGTTACATTAAAAACAAATGAATAATTCCTGACAGTTTAAAAGAACAATTCCATTTCTTATCAAATAGCTTCAATGGCCAGTGCAATTTAGTATATGTGAGTGTGAGCATATACAAACATATTAATTCCCTCTGTGTATCAATCATTATGCTAGGAGCTGGGAATAGGAAGATGAACAACAGAGTTGGGGAAGTCATGGGGATGAAGAACATACGGCTAAAACACAAATAGGGGTTAACTTTTCTAGCCGTCAAGACCAGTTATGAAAATCATGAGTAAAATTCCTTTTTAAAGTTCTATTGTGGAAGAAACTTAATTTAGGCCACAGTCTTGACCATAGGAAACATATGACCTTTCATCTCTATGACATATGAGAAATTGAAATAAAATACAAGAAATGCAAAAACAATAGTATTTACTCTTAGGCCTCAATCACCGTAATGAAAAGAGGAGCTTAATTCACAAGGAGACACTAATGCTGGGAATAATAAGAGAATCAGAACCACAGTTAATTAATTTTCCAATTATTGTTATGGGTAGTGACCAACAAGCAGTCTGTTGCTATAACAGATTCACTGCACTTAATGACATGTTTGTTTTAGAGCAATACATTTGTTTTAGCTTAATTAAATTAATATATTCATACCCTTTCAAAAGAAGTTGAGGTTGTTTGCCTATGTTGGTTTGCGATCTTCACAATGTTCCTATAAACTTTTAAGAATCTAAGAGAAATATGTATTATTCATTTGCAAATCTAAACAGTTCTCCTTTAAGGGAAATCACAAAAATAACCACATAAAAGAGTAATTATTAATCAGGTATCAATGGGATAGTTTGTGGAAATTTTTTTATCTTGCTAATTGGCTCTTTACAGAACCACACAGCTGACAGGAACCTACTTTTCTTTCTTACCTTGCTGGATAAAAATGAAATGTAGACACTGAAGTTTTCTTCTGAAGATTAAAATATATCAAATAAATCCTTTGATGATATGCTTCAGTACTTAAGGGTACACAGCTTTCCTCATTGTTCACGGGAGTTCCAGACAGCAACCAGATTAGCTGGTGACTGAGTCATTTCTGGAGCTTCCTCTCACCTTGGTGCCCTGTTTCCATGTTTCTTTCCAGTGCAGGGTTGGGTCTACTTCTCCCCACTGCTAAGTCTGCATGACTGGGACATAAGGAAGTTTGGAAAGATGCGTCTCTACTGGATGTGTCATTTACTTATCTTCTCCAGGCTCTAGGTTTTGGCCCTAGGGTAATGGGCTGCATTTTATAGCAGTATCTCTGCTTCCTTGGTAGCATGTAGAGATGCTGAAAATGATGGCAGTGAAAGTCAGAACACGTGAAGGCGGTGCTGGAAACTGACTAATGCTGGAGGTTAGATAACAAATGTTGGTTGTATTCTCACGTTGTGATGTGAGGGACCTGCATATTTAAGAACTGACCAAAAAATGGGCACATTTTAACTTTTTCACTCGCTAGAGGGATAGATTTGTCTTTTTCTATTACGAGAAATTATTATAGCTATTTAAGCAATGATTTTCAAGTTTGGGGGCCAAAAGTTTCCACAACTGTGGCAACTGGAACTAAATTATATACCTGAATATGCACCTTTAAGAGAGAAGGTCAATTCAAGTGGTACCTGCATATGTCGGTCACCTTCTTGTCCAATCATGTTTCTCCATTCCGTGAGTGATCGCTGCAGATGTTCAAGTCCAGTTTCCCAGAGTCTGATGCGACCTCCCATATCAACAGTAACAACACCACCTTTGCCCCACTCAGCTAGCAGAGCATCTGTGTCTGAAATAGTAGATAGCCATGTGGTATATGGCGAGAGAGATTCTGATCTGATAAGGAAATTATAGTAGTTAGTCAATTGGTAGTAATGAAGCTAGTTTACCTAATTTTGGTTCATTAAACTGGCTATAAAGAATTCTAATAGTAAGCACATTAAAAGATACCAAGAGATTCATCTGTAAGAAAAAAAATAACACAGTTTTCTATTGGTTATTTACACTTTTCTGTATTTGTGGACTCCCGATGATACTAGCATTCACTGTCAGAAGGAAAAGAACTCTAAACCATCTCATATCTCATTCACCTGCAATGCTGGACTCACTATTTAGGGCTCTAAGTTTCAGTCTAAGTGCTGAAACTGATGTCTTGTTTATGGGCTTTAACTGCATTTGTATTTAATATTTTGCATTTTCTAACTTAGGAAGTTAAGGAATTTATAACAAGGAATTTATGTATTTCTCATATTACATATATCATACATATACATACTTCCTTTGTTATATATTCATTTCTAGGAATGCAGCTTTTGCCTATAAGTCAACTGCACACTTCCTTTTTCTGAATATAGCTCTCACTAAACAAAAGAAACAGATTAGAAATTCTAATTAATCTTTAAATACATCTGATACTTTCTATATGAAGTAAATGGTCTAAAGGGATAGTCTGATCAGATAATAAAAACACAATAAGCCATCAGTGTAGATCTGGGAAAAACCACAAAACCACTATATGTTGGGTAAAATCTTATAATATCCTAAAGAATAAACCAGGACTACTTTGACCTTTCTTTCCAGTCTGCCTTAGTAGATACTCAACACAGAGTGACAGAGCTAGCCTTTCTGGGACACAAAAGTTTTAGAAAATGTTAATATGAAGAGGATGATAACAGTAGGATGGGTCCCCAGGTTTCAGAACTACTTTACAGTTCTAGAAGGACTCACAGAAGGTAACATTTGATATAATACAGGGTTTATCTCATGGTGCTCTCCCAAAAACATGTGCCTTAGTAAAAAATTAATAGGTACAGATGGTGAAGTAAAGGGCTATTCCAGAACAATGAAATTTATCTATGTGAAACAATGTTTGAGATTCTTCCAAGAGCACTCAAGATGTAAGACTGTGGAATACTCTATTTACTGGCTAAATGTTTAACTCTTCATACCATGAAACTTGAAATTTCTACGGGCAATTTCTTCAATATGTCAAAAAAAAGTGCTGAAAAAAATCACTATTTACTACAATTTGCTCCCCAGCTCTAGAATCTCTTCTTCACCTTGTTTTAAATGCATCTTCCCCTTACTACATAATAGCAACGTCATTAAAGAATACACAGAATTATAGTAGAGTGAGGCCCAGATTTCCATACACCCACAGATGAGAGCTAGGCAGTATCATTTCACAGATGTAAATAATTACAAAAATTTGAGGAAAAATACTCAAGTTTTACTGGGGGCAAAAGTGATGTATTCATTTTGGCCCTGTAGTTATATACAGTGTTACTGTATTTTCTGTTATTTGAAGTTAGCCATCAGATGGAAAATTCCAGCTATCTAGCAGAATGCTAAATTTAAGCAACTAGCAGGAAAACTGAAATCCAGATGGGTTGTTCTCTTGGATTGCATATATGCCAAAAATGGCAATAGCTAATCTCAAGAGAAATTCAGGATATACTGATAATGAACAGACTCCAAATCACATGGCACTTGAAATATGGCAAGTCCAAACTGAGATGTTCCAAAAGTGTAAAATACATACTGATTTCAAAGACTTAGAAGAAAAAAGGAATATAAAATATCTCATTAAAATTTTTATATTGAATATGTGTCAAAATGGTAACATTTTATGCTTTTAAAATTTATTAAAAATATTTTACTTATGTATTTTAAGGAGAGAGTGTGCATGAGAAGATAATAGTGTTTTAAATACATCGGGTCAATAAAATGTGATTAAAGTTAATTTCACCTATTTATTTTTCCTTTTTAAAAATATGGCTAATAAGGACTAGACAATGAGTGACATTATCTGGCTCGCGTTCTATCTCCGGCGGGCAGTGTGGCTCTGAAGGAACAGCCGCTCTGCCAGGTGTTCCTCCCCGGCAGGCATCATACACGGTTCACACAGAAGGTTAAAAGAGAAGAACAATGAAATAATTTCTAAGAGAAATACTGGAAAAAAGTTATTAATGCTTTTAGAAATGTAAAAAAACCAGAAGTTGTTCTTTGCTTTTGTTGCTTGAACTAATAGTGTATTTTAATAAGCATATACTTCATATGGAATAAGGAAGATGCTCTAAGAAGGCATACTTATATATGTTGGAACAAGTAAATCTATTTTTTTTTTAAAGATTTTATTTATTTATTTATTTATTTGAGAGAAAGAAAGAGAGACAGAGAAACAGTATGAGAGGGGAGAGGGTCAGAGGGAGAAGCAGGCTCCCCGCTGAGCAGGGAGCCCGATGCGGGACTCGATCCCGGGACTCCGGGATCATGACCTGAGCCGAAGGCAGTTGCTTAACCAACTGAGCCACCCAGGTGCCCTCTATTTTTTTTTTTTTTGAGTAATGCTTTGATTATTCATATTTATTGAACCTGATTAAGGGTCCTAAGAAATGAAACTGTGTTTCTCAGTTACTGTGACCTGTCAGGCTGGGCTAGTCTCTTCTAGGGGTTGGAGGAGCGGCTAGAAAGCGGCCTGGTGATGCTGGGGGTGAGTGACAGGTCTCCGAGTAGCCGGCCTTTCTCTCATGCTGGAAGGCTCTGCAGGCTTCTCTGCTAGAGAGTTCCGGTGAGGTTTTCATCCCTATGTTGTGAGGACTTAGTCGCCCGTCAGGGAGTGTATGTTATGAGGGGATGTAGTGTCAAACTAGGCCAAAGCAGAGGAAAAGATTAGAAGAAGGAGGTGCTGGCTGGGGGTGGGGGTGGATTGGGTGGGGGAGGGGAGCAAAGTAAGGAAGAATGAGGAAGTTCCAGAGCAGTTCTGCTGAGAGAGGGAGATCAGGCATGGATGCATCCAGAAAGGGACAGGCTACTGGTGAGGACACTGTGATTCTCAAGGGTAGAAACCAAGCACGTAGTTTTCCTTCTGTATCCTCGGTCTAGTTGGTTTAGATACTTTGCTTCCATCACTGGACAATAACAGAAGCAGTGAATGGTCATGAGTTCCATTCAAAATCTCTGGAAGCCTTTAGCCACTGTATAGCCTTCACAACATTTTTTAAGAAATCATTTTTAAAAATGCTATTTAAATTCCTTTGACATTTTGAACACATTTACCTCTGAAAACTACTATATAAAGTTAATAAATAAGGTGGATGGAGTTCGAGAGTATTATGCTAAGCAAAATAAGTCAGTCAGAGAGGACAAATACCGTATGATTTCACTCACATGTAGAGTTTAAGAAACAAAACAAACAAGCAAAGGGAAAAAAAGAGAGAGAGAGAGAGAGAAACCAAGAAACAGACTCTTAACTGTAGAGAACAAACTGATGGTTACCAGAGGGAGGTGGGCAGGGGGATGGGTGACATAGGTGATGGGGATTAAGGAGTGCACTTGTCGTGATGAGCACTGAGCAATGTATGGAAGTGTTGAATCACTATACTGTGTACCTGAAACTAATATTACACTGTGTGTTAACTAATGGAAATTCAAATAAAAACTTAGAAAAAAAAAATAAAGATGAAAATTTTTTGCAATACTGAAAACGCTGTTTTAGATAAATTAAATTAATCACTGGGATAAATCAGTGAATAGATCAATGACAGAGAAATGAAGCCTTGAAGGCTGTTAGACTTATACCTATATAACATTTGAACATTTGTCCCAAATGAAAATAAAAATAGCAGTAAAGCATGCAGAACAGCAGCAAGATACAAGCCAACTGCAACTGGGGTGGGGTGGGGGGAGAAGAGCCTGCTATTTCAGGAGGCAAAAGCACACATTTATTCGGAGTGTTCGGTAAGACTTGACTTGCTTTTGATCTGACATATGAACTGGGAACAAAGGTGAACGTGGATTACCTGGGAATAGGGATATATCGGAGTTTCTTTGATTGAAGATCAGTGATTTCTATATAACCAGCTGTTTGCGGAGGGGTCACATCTGCAGACAAGTCATGACATGAGCTGAGTATTAAATTACTGCATGATACCAAAATAAGACCAGAAGAAAGCATGAATGTTGCTAAAAGTGCAATGAAGTTACCAGTAGCCTAGGGCAGAGCTCTGAGACCCACCTGACAAGGTCCTGGGTCAAGTCTAGTCTCTAGGATTATGTTTTTGTCAACAAAACACAAAGATTGTCAAATACATACATATTAGGCCATGATTTTTCACTGTCAGAAACTGACCTAAGTCCTTTTCATTGTCTTTGCTAGCTTTCCAAGACGAGACGTTTTAGCACTTAGAGTTTATTTGAAAAGATTTCATCACCTGAATTCTGTTTTTCCTTCCTAGGAAGTCACAATGACAGTACAAAGTAGGCGATGCAGCACCCACTTTGTAATCGGACTGGCCACTGGCTCTGACATTTCCGAACTGTGTTTTATGCTGGTCAAGTTATCTTGCTTCTTTTGTCATTTGTAAAATGGGGATAACAACAGCATCTGAGCATCATAGACATTATTTTGAGGATTAGATGCATTTAGTGACTGGAAAGCATTTAATTAGTAGCTGCTCAGCACATGGTACCTGTAATTATTAGGGCCCCCCAAGACAGGAGAGGGTGTGGTGAGGATGGGCCTGTGGGATGAGGACTCTGGATCACGGATGAAAGGGTGGGGGAAGGAGAGGGTATGACATATAGGGGCCAGAGCCCCCACCTCTAATTCTGGAGTTGTTTCCCAGCCAATTCCAGGGGTCTGCTGACTTCTCTTCCAAAGCCCTGAATACCACCACTCATCATCACTAGCTGCCACTACTGTGTGCCAGAAACTCTGCTTAGTCTTTATAGGCAGGGTGTTTAATCCTGACCACAAAGACTCATGATTCCTGCTGGAATGAGGAGGAAGCTGAAGCTAATAGAGGTGCGATGATAATGTGACCTGCTTGAGGCGACACAGCTAGAGAGTGATGGAGATGGCTTTCAAACCCAGGCCTTCCTGGCTTTGAAATCTCTGCTCTGTCCACCACTCCACACAGCTCCTGCCTAAGCTGACCCTAGGGCAACAATTTTTAAAATGGCCTCATTTTAGAAGATATTGGCCATTAATGTCTCTTAAAAAAAAATCTCCCCTCACAGAACCCATACTTTTTTTTTTTTTTTTAAGATTTTATTTATTTTTTGACACAGAGAGAGACAGCGAGAGAGGGAACACAAGCAGGGGGGATGGGAGAGGGAGAAGCAGGCTCCCCGCGGAGCAGGGAGCCTGATGTGGGGCTCAATTCCAGGATCCTGAGATCGTGACCTGAGCCGAAGGCAGACACTTAATGACTGAGCCACCCAGGCGCCCCCAGAATCCATACTTTAAATTTAAAGATTTTTGTCTGTTTTCTGTCCTTATTACAACTTCATGTTAGAATGAGATATTCAAGATGTTCACACTGAATTTATCCAATGTAGTTTACAAAAAATAAGAAACTTGGCATTTTTATTTCATGTTTGCAGCCGGAAGTTTTTGAGTAGACCCTCCAAAAAATTCAAAACTCAAAATATGTCTTATTTACTCAACAAACAGAGTTAGGTTTACTTTGCACCAGACACTATACAAAGCACTGAGGAGAGAGAAGGAGATGTGATTCCTGTTTCATCTGAGGAGCCCACAGCAGAAAGAGGAAAGTTCCTTAAAAAAAAACAAAAAAAAACATAAAAAACCCCCACACAACAAAACAAAACCCATCGTGGGCCTTTGGGAACCCACAGGCCTGGGGGCTAGGTATGAGCTGCAGAGCAAGGCAAGGAGGAGTGCCAGAGGTCAGAGGGTTAGGAGGAAAGGAAGGTAATGCCCAGGGATAGCAGAGGGTAAGAAAAGAGAGTTACTATGGTAACCTGACCACCAGCTGAATTGGCTGTCCCTAGATGGCCATTTATATAAAACAAGCATGCTTATCATCAGTCACACACAGCCTGCACTGCAAATGCTGCCTGGGATAGAAGGTCAGCCTTGGATAAAGTTTTGCACCATATATCACTTTTGATAGTTCCTGCTGCTAAGACCTATCCAAAGTAGGTTGAATTATTTATAGACCCAGGTTCTTTGCCAAAAATGACCAGTTATTGAAGCAGTTGGGATGACTAGAGCTGTCTCGTTAACCGACTTACATTTTGGCTTGTCACTCATGGGCGCTTTTTTTTTTTTTCATAAGTAGTAGTATTAAGCTGAGCTATGGCCACCAGTACTTTCAGACGGCCCATGAAAGCAAAGCACAGTAAGCCAACTTATTTTAAAATATCTTTTCTTTCACTGTGCAAATTAATTCCGTGGCATAAAGAGGGTGAGAAAATGCAGTAATGGCTGTGTCTATTTCAAGAAGAGGAAAGCAAGAATTTTACTCCTGGTGCTAAAAAATATTTTCACATATCAGAAAAGGCACTTTGTGGCTATAAAGCACTTTTCAAAGCAGTATTAAGGGAGTGGTGGTGGTGGTGGTGATGGTGAGCACTTGAAAAATAATCAGCATTGACGTTTACTGATTTGAAAACAAATCAGCTCGGAATACATGACTGAATTAAGGAAGTGAACACCGCAGCCAGATTTCCCTCCAAACTTGGCCAAATCCTTGTCTATCCATTTTAAACGTTTCAATGCTGTAGAGAGGACAGAGGCTCAGTAAATTTCCATTACATTTATAATCAGGTGGATTTCAAGGATAGGTGTAAGCTACGCGTGAAGATGAGTTCATAATGATGAAAGGGAAGTCAATGGCTGCGCGTTTACTGCATAGTTCCCGGGAACAGTGGGGACAGCTTCTGCGCACAGCACCAAGGTTAGGAGGAGGTATAAGAGTTGTCAGACAAAACAACTGAGAACACATTTGGAGGGAAGATGAAATTACATTAAAAAATTCACTCCTTTTAGCAATGTAATTTGATGTACATCTGTTAACTACCAAGTTTAATGCACTTCTGCGTTCACAGATTAAGAGTGATGAGTGTCCTGCAATAGCGCCAATGCCAAATCTTTTAAAACACAGAGTATCACTTTTAATCCAGAGTTGTTACTTTGTGTTTGAAGAGCTGAGGTCTGTGATTAAAGAAAAAAAGAAAAGAAAAGAAAAAGCAACTAACAACTAGGGAAAAAAAAAAAAAGACTGGAAGAAAGCAGTAAATCTCTCCCTGGCTGCATTAAACAAAAGTTATGCCATCTTTATGAAAGCCATCAGAATAGCCTTTATAGTTTCTATTGATTTCTTTAATAAAAGGCTGATATGCATTAGTTCCAGACTAATCAGATGGTTGGATTCTATTTACTTAAAAAAAAAGCCAAACTATTTTTTATACCAGTGTCAGCTCAAAGATTGCTTCTTAACCAGAGCAAAGAGTTCTTAAGCCATAATCTTTCCTCTACTACTTTGGAAGTTATATACTCTATTCCTAACTTACTGACATACAAACTTAATCAATATCGCATCCTTCCTCCTGAACAATGTAAGGCACTTAGAAAACTTTAACATTAGTCACTCCTCTCCTAACTTGTAGATTCTAATTGTCTCATAGTTTCGATATATGCTTCTTAAAATTTCACAAACTTTTATTATTTTTGTTCCTTATAATTAATGCTTGTTAGCCATATATTTACTACTTTCTCGTGTATTCTCATCTGAACTGGTTGATCCCTAGGCCTGTGCACAGCTATCCTCCTGGGATCTCCCTTCGTCATTCTCCTAGGAATTTTTTTTTTTTTAATAGCCCACATTTATAAAATTCTTCCTATGTGCCAGACACCATCCTAAGCACTTTATGTATATTTGAAATATTTAAGGAATACTACTTAAACAAATGAGGGGAAATAAAACTCCTAGCAACAAAGAGAAAAATGGTCAAAGATATAAACAGGCAATTCTCAGAAGAGTAAATCACAGCATATGAAAAGATTCTCAAAGTTCTTAAAAATTAGGGAAAGATAAACTGAAACCACAATAGAAGGTCTGATCCCTACAAGAGTAGATAAGGATGGGGAGCGTCAGGACCTCTTTTATGAGGCTGGAACAACATTGAGAAACAATCTGGTAATTCTACTCGTAGATATATCCCCTATGATTTCTTAGCATGTACACAAGGAGAGGGGTACAAGGATATTCATTGCCCATTATCTGTAATAGCAAAAATTGGAAAGAACCTAAGTGTACATCAACAGAGACCCGATGAATAAACTACAGTGTTCAGCAGTGAAAGTAAATGAAGGAGCTATCAATGTGGATGATGACAAAAGATCATCTCCTTTGACCAAACTCTAGTCAGGCTCTTCTGGATCCTCTTCCCAAACAGGCCCCAACTTTTAGGCTTCTGTATTCATCTCTGTACTGTTCACTTTTATCAAGAGTCCTGCTAAGTCAGTTTAACTAGAATCCCCCACCCTCCACATGTGATCAGGTTCCTCATCCTCCACCATCCCCGAGGTAAGGTCTAATCACCCTGGCCTGCCTTCAGCAAGAATCCTCCAGGGTCAATTTAGCCAGAAGTGTTCCTTTTCCTTGATTTCCTTTTAGTAGTTTTCTATCCACTGATCCCTACCAAAAGTTAGAAGATCTATACTACCTGATTTTGACACTCACTATAAAGCAGTGTCAAAGCTAGAAAGTAATCGAGTGTGCTATTAGTGAAGGGATAGACACAGAGATCAATGGAACACAAAAGAAAATACAAAAATAGACCCCAACATGTGTGGTCAGTTGATTTTGAGCAGAAGTCCAACTGCTGAAACTCAAGGGAGAAAGGACAGATCTTCCAGCAAATGGTGCTGGAACAAGTGAATATCCGCATACAAAACAATGAGTCTCAATCCACACCTTGCACCATATAAAAACAATTATCTCAAAATGGAACCTTAAATGTAAAATCTAAAACTACAAAATTTCAAGAAGGGAAATTTTCCCTTCATCAAAATGGGAGAAAACGTTTGAAAAGAATATTTGATAGTGGACTTGTACCCAGAATATATAAGGAACACACAAAACTCTTTAAAAAAGTCACCCAAATGGGGTGCCTGGGTGGCTCAGTTGGTTAAGCCACTGCCTTCGGCTCAGGTCATGATCCTGGAGTCCCGGGATCGAGTCCCGCATCGGGCTCCCTGCTCGGCAGGGAGTCTGCTTCTCCCTCTGACCCTCCCCCTCTCATGTGCTCTCTCTCTCTCATGCTCTCTGACTTTCATTCTCTCTCTCTCAAATAAATAAATAAAATCTAAAAAAAAAAAAAAAAAAAAGTCACCCAAATAACCCAAGGGCAAAAAATCTGAGACATTTCACTAAGGAAGGTACACATGACAAGATGCTCAACATCATTAGGCACTGGGAAAATGCAAATTAAAATCATAATGAGATACTGCTGCACAACTACTAGAATGGTGAAAGACTGGTTATACCAAGTACTGGCAAGGAGGCAGCAGAACTAGAACTTTCCTTCATTGCTGATAGGAAGGCAAAAGGTATTGTCACTTTGTAAAACAGTTTGGCAGTTCTATCATATAACGTAAAAATGCCATTCCAACGTATTTACCCCAGTGAAGCAGAGACTTATGTTCACTTAAAGATTTGTGCACAAGAGTTCACAATAGCCTTATTCATTATTGTCAAAAAGTGGAAATGATTCAACTATCCACCAACTTGTGAATGACCAGACGAAGTGTGCACAATCACACAAGAGACTACTACTTGGCAATAAAATGAACTACTGGCACAGACAACAATATTAATGATTCTCAAAGACATGATATTAGGTGAAAGAAACCACTTGAAAGAACATATACTGTATGATGCCATTTATATGAACATTCTGGAAAAGGCAGATCCGTAAGGCCAGAAATCAGTTCGGTCAGGGGACAGGGAGTAGGTGGAAAGGCTGACCACAAAGTAGCATGGGGAGATGGAACTGTTCTCTGTCAGTTATGGTGATGGTTACACAACTGTATGTGTTTGTCAAACTCACTGAACTATATACAAACTGAACTATATATAAACTGAACCTTAATAAGAACAAAGGCATACTTTAAAAATATCACTCTGTCTGATGCATGGAGAATGGGTAGGATGGGGAAAGAGTGGAAGAGGAAACGTCAGGAGGCTGTTGCAATATTCTAGTGCAATACGGCAGTGATTTGGATGTTGGTAATAGAACTCTAGTCAAGTGGGTAGAATCAAAATATATTGGTGAGGTTGTATCAAAAGGACACGGTAATTTATGATGGGATTAGATAGAGAGGATGAGGGAGATGAAGTATCAAGGTAGACTCCCGGGTGCACTGAATTCTAGTACAGAATTTCTTGTATTTCCTGGGATGGTGTCATGCCCCTGTACCTTTCACACAGGGTTCCCCCTTCCTGAAACAATTCCTTCATTTGATTCACTCCCATTCATCTTTTCAAGGGTCAGCTCATAATCACCAGTCTGGACTGTAAGCTTCTCCTTTTGTAGACACCTTGTGAATATTCCTGTCATAGCACTGTACTGAGACTGTCACTTTATTCACCTGCTTCTTCTACCTTAAGAAACATTTTGAGGAAATGGTGATTTTTTTGGAAGGAACTAATTCTAAATATCATCATATAACCAGGACTTGTCAACCCAGTAATAGATTATAATACATTTAGCATTATATTTATTAAGTCCACAGTGATAATAACGAATGTAAACACAAGACAACATTTACTACCACTATGATGCAAATAACAAACAGTGGCTCAATGAGCAAACATTTTCATAATTATCCATTATGGTGAAAGCCCATGTGGTTCAGCAAGAATAGCCCTAGGCTTGGGATTGGAAGACCTGGTGCACATCTGGGCTCTGCTGACCACTGGTGGGGTGGCCCTTGGCATGCCATCTTACCTCCCTTTGTCAGCCTCCCTGCATACAAGTTCAAGAGTACACTGATGACAGAATGGGGATTTGAATATTAAATAAATGTATACAAGGAAAAGTGATCGGCACAGGCCCTGGCCTATGTTTTGCAGTAATAAATATAAGATGACCCTGAGAGCACTGCTGAGGGGATCAGTCTGCATGAGTCTCTGGCCTTTCATCATAGCTGGCCCCATTTTCTGTGCCTGATGGTCTAATAATTTTTAAAAGTCTATTTGAAAACATCTTCTAAGTAAAGTTACTGTGTAGATTGTAAGGCAAAGGAAGAAGAGTTTTAATAGCAGTGCCTTCCATCACACACTGCGAGAAACTGAGTGAAAACTTTCTGAGCACACACAGAGGTCTTTTTAGCTACTAGACCCTGGTAGAATTATTCACATTTATACATATAGAATGATAATGATACATTAAATATCCTTACCCAAAGCAAACTACTTTTACTACCTCAGCAAATTAGGAATTGGTAAATTTCTTACCTTTTGGGTAGACATCTTTTAGAGGGACTTCTCCCGGGGGCAGAATCCTGACTATCTGATTAGTATCTAAAAGAGTCACGCAATTGCTCTGTTTTGGAGTTTCACTTTTCTTCTTTCCTCCATAGAATGTTCTGTCAGTGACACTTGGTTTATGCAAGGATGATGGCCTTCTCCAAGAATAGACTTCACTGGGTGACTGAAAGAAAGAAAAGATGAAAGTACTGAATATAGGGGTGCCTGGCTCAGTCAGTAAAGCATCTGACACTTGATCTCAGCTCAGGTCTTGATCTCAGGGTCGTGAGATCAAGCCCCACGCTGGGCTCCATGCTCGGCATGGAGCCTACTTAAAAAAAAAAAAAAAAAGTACTGAAATATAGTTGACCCTTGAACAACATGGGTTTGAACTGTGCAGGTCCACTTATATGCGGGTTTTTTACAGTTCAGTAAATGTGTTTTCTCTTCCTTATGATTTTAATGACATTTTCTTTTCTCCAGCTTACTTTATTGTACATATATAATGTTTATAACATGCAAAATGTGTGGTAATAGACTGTTTATGTTATCAGTAAGGCTGCCAGTCAACTGTAGGCTATTAGTAGTTAAGTTTTGGGGAGTCAAAAGTTATTCATGGAGTTTTGACTGTGTGAAGGGGGTCAGTGTCCCTAACCCCCATGTTGTTCAAGAGCCAACTGTACTATAAACTACATTCACCACACCCGGTACAATGCAGCCCTTTAAGCGGATACCAGTGGTAAACTTGTATTTCACAAGTATAAGAAAATCAAATTACTTCTTAACCTTTTTGAATTTGGTATAGGAAATAGCTGCTTCACCAACAATCATATTTTTCAGGCAAATGTGAAATATACAACATATTTTTTACGTTGAAATGAATTGTAACTAAAGAGAGGGAATATAACAATATAGTCAGTTTAAAAATAAAATAAATCTCTACTACATCTACTCTGTGGCATTACCAGCATTCTGAAGTACCTGAGTGTGCCTTTCCATTCATATTTCCTTCTGTCTGCCCTAGATGTTTAGAACTCTTCTGGAAGTTTGTATATTTTTTCCCTCTTGCTTTACTTAAAATTTTTACCATATATGCATTTATCCTTCCCTACCCCAAGATCATAAATATTCTCCTATATATTCTCTAAACGTTTTAAAGTTTTGTCTTTCACATTTAAGTCCTTAACCCATTTGGGATTTATTTTTGTGAATGGCATGAGGCAGAGATTCATATTCATCCTTTTTCACATGGATAGCTAATTGTCCAAATACCGTCAAATACCAAACAGCACTATCAACATTGCTATTATAAAATACAGTTCTGAATATGCATGCATCTGTTGCTGGGCACTTCATTCCACTCTCTTATTTATTTTTCTACTCCTACATGCATACCATTGTCTTAGTTACTGAAGCTTTATAATAAGCCTTGAAATTTAGTAGGGCAAGTTATCTCTGCCTCTATTTGGTTCTTCTTCAGGAACATCTTGATTATTGTTTGTCTTTGCTCTTTCATAAAATTGTATGAGAGCTGGATTTGCTCTGCACCCTTGTCAGTATTTGATATTGTCAGTATTTTTTTATGTTAGCCATGTAGTAGTGTCTTATCGTGATTTTAATTTGCATTTCCCAAATGACTAATGATGTTGAACATCTTTTCATGTACTTAATCTCTGTATCCTCTTAAATCATCTGTTCAAGTCTTTTGCCTTTTTTTTTCACATTTACCTCATTATTTCTGTATCTATCTAAATATATTGAAAACTGTGAGTTCACACAAATAGATTCAATTCCAATACAATGACTATAGGATTCATTCTAGTGTTCCTTTCTCTATCTGTAACTCCCTTCTCCAACAGTGAGAAACTAGACTTCATTATCTTTAATATATTTACTTTCTTGCTCAGTTCCACTGAATGTGATTCATATCTCATCCCACTACTAACTTTCCCTCGCAAGCAAATGCCTTCCTTACTCTGCTTGGTCCTAATAGTCCACGCTGGGCTACGCTCATGAATGGACGCCCTCCTCACCTTACTTGGGCTCCTAAATCCTACACCAGGCTACCTCTACCTCCTCAGGGGCACCTCCAGGCATTGTGCCTGGAGTTCGTTGCTATCACTGGTGATTACACCCTTCCCCATCTGGGATGTCCTCACCTGCTCAGCCTCTGACCTCTGACACCTCACACTGAGCCACTGTTTGCCCATTTTCTATATTGGATGATTTGTTTTCTTGCTCTTGAGTTTTAAGAAATCTTTGTATGTTCTAGATACAAGTCCTTTGTTGGAAATATGATTTGCCAATATTTTTTCCCAGCCATATCTTTTCATTCTCTTAACAGTGTCTTTTATAGAGCTGAAGTTTTAAATTTTGATGAAATTCAATTTATCAAAAATTTTGTTATGGATCATATCTGAGATGCTCAGTAGAGTGTTTAATAGAAGTGATGATGGTGAGTATCTTGTCTTATTCTTGATATTAAAAGGAATGCTTTTAATGTTTCACTACTGAGGATGATATTTGCTATAGGTTTTTATGGCTATTTGGCATTAGGTTAAGGAAGTGATAATAAGTTAATAATAATTTAGGTGCCTCAGATAATGCTATAAAAAGTTGATAGGTGACATATCCCTTTATTGATAGCTTTATGAAGAGTCAAAAGAAATTCACACAAAAGCAGAAAGGCACTGTGGTACACGGGAAAGGATACAGGTTTGAGGGTAAGTCATCCTTGACCTCAAATCCCAGCTCCTTTACTCATAATTTTTGTGGCCTAGGGGATACATCTTTCTCTGTTTCTGTTTCTTCATCTATAAAACCTTATAAAATTGTTTTAAAAATTGTCATGTATGAAAGGGTTTAGAATAGTGCAATGCCTGATTTTTGTATTAGGGTCTAAAAAATACAATTTTATCATAGAATGTTGAAAGGCTGCCTAACTGACCCTAGTCTTTCATTTAACAAATATTCACTAACACCTCCTATGTGTTGGTTACCATACTAAGTAGGGGGGATAGAACTTTTTTTTTTTTAAGATTTTATTTATTTATTTGACAGAGAGAGAGACAGCGAGAGAGGGAACACAAGCAGGGGG